GAGATTAGAAGTCCGATTAACAATTTCTTGGAGTGCGTGCATGCTTAACTCGATGTTCTCTTTCAGCTTATGTTGGATTAGGTGCGTGAAGAAAAACATTTGTGCACAGTCGGCGGTATTGACGATTACCGAGCGAGTCTTCTCTCTGTACTCTCTAGATGCACAATGGGAGGCGATGAAAGAATTGAACAGGCTCTTGTGAGTCGTACAGTACTTCTCAGACTGACTCTCAATAAATCATTACTCCTCCCCTAGTGCTTCATCTCATCCTTGGCTAGAACACCCCATCTATAACCAAGATTCGGTCAGCGAGACGGAACGCAAAAAGACGATCGAACATATATTGTACGTACTTTTATGCTTTCTATCATGATAATATTCAGTCATTTCCAAGAAACGACTATGGAGCCTCTAAGAACAAAAGCCGGCCGCAACCGAACACCCCTCAGGAGATAAGAATTGCGCCAATGAGCCCGAACGTCGACCAACCAAATTACAGGGCACTCCCTCGCTCGGAAAGCGGTCACCCTCCATCGACGATGCCTCGTACAACAGTAAATCGTTCGAAGAAGCGGGAGGCAGCCAATCATAGACAAGCTACTCTTCGTCCCGGATCTACGCAGCCTGGAAGAACACCGCGGGAAGCTCGAATTATCACGCCAAGTGCAACGGGCGGGCCCCGTACCATTAACCGACCAGATATGGCCTCGAAGAAACCAAGTCCACCCGACCGTGATCGGAGGGAGGCAGTTTCCCGTCCAATGTCAACGCCGCCTAGGTTATCGAGAGAACAGACCGAAAGGATGGTCCCATATGCCGTGACAGAGAGGATTCCCAGGGCAGAGGGGCGCTCTGAACAGTCTCCGCTACCCAGTCAAAATCATACTATACCCTTAAATAGTCCCAAAATTCCTACGAGGGCTCCTGCCCAGCGGACACGAGCTCCACTCGAGCATGCATTTTCCCACATCCGAGGTGCTGCGCCTGCGGCTCCGATGGATGACGTCGAGACCACCGAGAGGAATATTACCGGGTAAGTAGGCACCGGTGCGACTCAATTTTCCAGCATCAACTGATCGCTGTTACGCAGGCCAGACATTAATGACCAGAATGGATCTTATCTGGAAAGGACGGGCCGATATAATGACGGGCCAGACAAACATCAACCGCAAAATGTCGGGCTCCCGCCCGAGCCCTATGGCCACGGAAATGCCCCGAACAGGTGTGCCCCGTAGATTTTTCTCATGGATAATCTATGAACTTGATATGAATAGGGACGATGACATGCGCATATTAGACGAACCTCGTTCTCGGTTATCAGCCGCTGAGCAGGTGCAAAACCATGTTCAAATTTCTGCCACAGGAGGTTTAGAGCCGTCAAGCGCCGGGCTGTGGCCTAGTTCTAGGTAAGAACTGGGCGCTTCGAACAAGTATTGAGTACTAAGGGACATCAGTGATATACCAATCCAGCAGAGATTAGACGAACCTGCCATTACTAGGTCACCACCACCGCCATATGAGGCTGTTCTTCAGCAGTCAGAGGGGATCGAGTACGTTCATCTATTGCAAATGGCGCAAATACGCGGCTCACACCGATATTAGCAGTGTAGAGAATCTGCTCGGTAGCAGTAACGAAACCCGTCCATCGTCGGCCTGCGGAGCGATCACTGCACCCGAACCTCCTTGGGATGCAGAGTTGGTCGCCGAATTCCGCAACGACCCTCCTGGCATTGTGGGACGCAAATTTCTGCTCGACAGAATTACCGACGCTTGCGAGTACATAGTCCTAGAGGAGACAGACGGGCGATTTTTCATCAGGGCAAAGTACAACAGCGAGCAGATGGTTCAGAAGCTCCGACATAGCGAACTCGACATGGGGTTGGATGTCATAGTGCCAGACGTCCAAACTTATTTCGACGCCAATCCTCACCTAGTTCGCGGGACGAAATTACGAGTCATAGGTAACGAAGAGACTTACAAGATTTTTGCATTTTACTTGGAGGATGGGATTCGGTGGTTCGAAATCACGCAAACATTGTCGTATGGCGAGATGTTGAGGATGATCAGGTTGAGTCACCGATGGGACATACGGTTTTGAACACGAGATACGCATCCTTGCTTATGTTTACGAGTTTGTTTCGCTAAAGTTTATCATGAGATTATGTATATTTACGAAACCAATTGCAGAACTCACCGGTATGGTTAGTCTAGTATGCCAGCATCTTTAAGTCGCAGTCGCAGTTCGCTGTTATTCACCGAACATTTCTCCTTTCAGGATAGATGGTGATACGGATTTTTCGAACGTGCCATAGATTGATGATGTCTCGACATAATTTGCAGACCCGTTCCGTTTGTCGACGCCACCATCGAAGTATGTTGAAAAGAAGTAAAGTTTGGCCCCGACTCCAAATACTAGTAAATAAGCGTGCTCGGTCCGACCTCCGCCTTTTTTTTTTGCCATCGAGACCGTCCAAATCTCTCGGCGTCGTTCTCGTCCTCTTTAGTCATGTTTCGCGAGCAGCTTCAGTCTTGCCTCCTTTGATCTAGAGGTCTCTAGGCCACTACATAACCGTGATAAATATCTACTAGCGTTCTCCTGTGGTTCTGTCTTCTCCTTCGCGAAGGGACTGTATACATATGACACATGTACCAGCTCATCAGCGATATTCAATCAAGACTTGAGCATCATCGCAAAATCTCGGACTTGATATCCAAATACGGTTCGCACTTGCTCAGATCTTCCTAGTCCCATTCATTATCACAATTAATTTGTTCCACCCCCTCCCATTCGGTCTCGAGCTCTGCAGATCATAAAGTTTTCCGCCAATAATCGAGGGCTAAAAAATGACGCATGCACCTTGATGCAAATGGCCGCTTAATAGTTCTGCTTCGGCTTCGAGGGCCAGGATACTGGCACAGTCTTCCCCAGTCCCCCTCCGAGTGAGCGTCACCCGCACTGTCTGCTTCTGGATCCACTGCTACTGACACCGCCCATATCACCTCTGTCAGTACGCTATACCGATTCCCCCGCTCCACCTTAAGTCACAAGTCTTGACGTCAAGGCTGTGAAAGCCGAAGTCTTGCATGTGGCGCAGTGATTCGGAGGGCACACTGCTGATGCTGGGAAATCTCTGGGTGTTACAGGGACGATGTTAGCGCCCGTATATAGACAGGGTTGCTTGACTCACACGGCGTCATTATTCACCGCAGCCCCTGAGTCACTCAACTGTATTTGAAGCTCTTACTTATCTTTTCATTACCGACGCACATTGCTTCAGGGTCAGCGGTGAGTAATTGACCAGATTCCCGAGAAACGCTGAACAGATCCTACAGTGTTACATTGCATCTTGTATACCACCATCAACATTTTTCGGAATAACTGCGCTGATAACTCAGTCGCGCCATCGTGTCATGCGGCGCCGGCGCGATTGATACGGCTGCGGCATCTGCGCTAGATGAAAAAGCAAGAGAAATACACGTCGGGAATCGGTCTTCTCTCCGATCAGAAGGTATCAGAAAGTGTACATACAACTAAGCATATCGGTTCGCGATTGCCTATTTTACGATGAGTTCTTCAGACAAGTAAACATTGGACCGGAGGACCGAGGCAGACATCGTGTATGGAACAAACTGGGGTGTATCAGAGCGTTCTTTCTGGAGGCAATAAAAAGCAATTCAAACGGAGTCATTTGATGACTCTCGGCTTGTGATGTGTGCTTGAATTTGATAACAAGCCAAGTGATCTACGGGGTTTGTTGCAAGACTCCGAACTATCTCTCGAGCCTTTCCCTGGTAAACCTGCTATGTGGCATTAGATCAACGAACGCAATTAATACTTATGCAATTAGAGCATAGAGCCGTCATACAGTGTTACTTAGTCGGAATAATATTTTAAAGCCAGCCACGTCGTATAATCATCATTAACCGAGGAAGTCTAAGCACTTCGCAAAACTCATTAGGTGTTAGGTTTTCAGCTGATCCAGACATCGGAGTTGTGGGTATAAGTCTCCAACCTCCAATGTCCTTTCTCCCGAACTACATACTCAAGGCTAGGCAATGAGTCCCTGCCTGGTGCCGATCTGCTGCAATGCTCAGTGCTCAGTGCTCACTACTGCGGCCGGCTCACCTGGTTACTGGTACTACCACTTCAATAATTAAAAAAAAGGAAGCAGTCTATCGGATTCCCGCTAGCCGGATTGAACGACTGACCTTGTCATCGCACCAAGTACGAGTGACACGCTCTACCACTGAGCTAAGAGGGACAACAATGTTATGGCGTCATGAAACGATTAGATTCTTTTATAAGACTTTTTGACCTGCATTACGTCCTTTTCCCCACATCGTTAGCAACATCCATCTTCGGAGATAGGCATAACATAAGGAGACTGCGAAGAAAAAAAACAGCCCCATTTCCCCGGAAGGTTTCATTCTAATTCACCGGTCCGCAATAGCGTTTCAGGATTTTGAGTTTCGAACTGGCCAACCCTGTTTATCTACATGTCCGAAGGTTTAGCGGTCCCGAGTATGGCAGCGCTATACGTTAACGAGGCGGTGCGCTTTACGTACGTAAGGCTTTCATTAATCTTTGGCGGGACATCATACGTAGAACTTAGTCGTGTATCATGCGCAGTTCATCTGGTTATGTACGTACCTGAAGATCACGTACCTGATCATAAACGTGCAGGTCAATGAAATGAAGCGTCTTTCACCGGAATGGGAAAGGACGTACGGCCCTACTTGAAATCGTCGCTATTAATCGGAGCTTCGTCGTTTGTAAAAGTTTTCCAAGCTTATACATATATCTCGTCATCGTGACCGAACTTATAACATTTCAAAATACTTACCGCTGAATCAGTGCCGATTCAAAAATCAGAATCCGGGTCCAAGTCAAAAGGTCCAAGAAGGACGATTCAACAATTACCAACAACGGTGAACAGTGAACACTGAATAGGGAGTCCCAAGATCATCCAGTTTGTGCAAAACAAAAAGCACAATAGGGATTCCCGCTAGCCGATTTGAACGACTGACCTCGTCATCAAGCAACGACTTAGACTGTACTAGTGACGCGCTCTACCAACTGAGCTAAGAGGGAGACAAAAGAAAACTAAAGACGTACAAGTTGAAGGTACCCTCCTCGAATAACAGAACAGAGCTTTCAAAGTCCCACGTTTCCGTGATATGGGGACAAAGATATCAAGCCCCAAATCATCTTGGGACAGCGGGTGACATATAGTGCTCCGGAATGTCATCCCCAGTACCATGTCCTGATCTAAGCACCCTGATCGAAGAGACTGAGGTTCGAGCTGAATGGGACCGGCGGGAGGTGAGGCCGTACCTGATCAGGCTCTATTAATGAAACAAAGATCCAAGGGGGTGGATGGAGGTAATTTTGCATTGCGCGGAAGTAGAGGGACCTGTGGTTCAGCTTCGAGCGACCCACGCCGGCGATCTCCTCCTTTGCTGCGAAGCATTGGTGAGAGGAAGGGTGAATGGAAGGCTGGATTTGGGGGGGGGGACACCGCCGGCAATCGGGGGGCTTGGCCATGGGAAGGCGATGTTCGTCAATCGTGAGGGATTGGGGGTACGAAGCTTATGCGTTGATTGATGAGTGCAAACTGATAGACGTGGTATTGGATGGAGAACAAGGGATCTCGGGGCCGTTAATGGCTGTATGTAGGGCGTGGGATTGGTGCAGCGACTGGGTATGTTCCTGATCATCTCGTAGAGGGTGGGCCTGATCTCGTGGTATGTCAAGCGCTGATCCGGGGAGGTAGAGCCTGCGACGGTGGTGTTTGTTCGTATGTCAAATTGTGGGGTGGCCAGGGCGAAGACACGTTGTGTGGCAATTGTCAAATTCTGGAGAGTTAATTTTGAGGCTAGACGGGAGTAATGACGATTTGTCTCAGTTGGAATTGGATTTTGAGGAGGGAGGAAGAGTTTCACTCGCGAGCTGACCTACAGAAAATTTCGTACTGTGGAACGGGGTTCCTGATCATCATATACACTGGTGGGTATATGTACATAAGAACTTACGGTGTTCATAAAACCAGGAGGAATTATTACGAGGCGACTGATCCGGAGGCTGCAGAGAATGTACGTTATAGTAATGTGATCCGGCACGATGGGGATACGGAATCGGTGGAGAAAAGTGCGTAATGTCAGAAAGTCAATGAAAGGTGGATTGATATAGTTGATACATATCGCGTCATCAAAATTTCTGGTCGCAAAAGATGCCGTATGGACGTACAAGACCATAAATACACAGTTGCGGACTGAGCTTGCCGTCAAACGATAAAGATTAACGGGAGGGCGATTGGACGTGGCAGGCCAGGCCATGCAGTGGGGTTCTGATCCGGTGAGAGGCTCATGACTGCGCGTGTACCCAGACGCCCAGAAGAATGAAAAATCGAATGCAGAGAACAGAGAAAGAAGAAAGAACCCTGGATGGGGCATGTGGTACCTGATGATCTTGTTCCTGGATGGAGCATGGCTGAAATGGTCGGCAAGCAAGTGACATGACGGGTCGCCACGATGTGAAATGTGATTTTGAAACCATGAACATTTTTCCATGCTAGCTGTCTTGAGGAAGAGGCTGTTCAGCAGTCCCAGCCGCTGTACGGGGAGAACTTATCGGGCACATGTGGACACGGCGGTAGAGAGGAACGATCTCGGGATGGTGATTGGAGGAGATAGCATGGCAGGCCAGGCAGGGCGCTCTGGACCATATTTGATCTTTTCTGATCTTTTTTGATTCCGAGTTGCCGATGTGAGCAACGTGACGGGCTGTGACCCTATCTGCATGTATTTGGTTGCGACATGGTCGGATCCGAGATACTGGTAGGTTCAGGCCTTTCAGACTCCGCTGCGACAATCAATGTACCTTAAAATCGTTCCTTTCAACAGAGTACCCATGGTTCGTGGACGTACTCCCTCCCCTGATCAGCCCAAGCCGCATCCGTCCTCGTCCTCGTCGTCTGACACGATGGCCACCATGGTTGTCCCCCCGCCGTCTGCTGCAATCACCAAGCGCTACCGTCCCGCCCCCGCCAAGACCTTCCAGTGCAGGGGATATGGAGAGTGTCGCATGGTCTTCAGCAGATCAGAGCACCTCGCGAGGCATATCAGGTACCGTGCCTTCACGTCTCGTCCTAGCATGTCCTCACCGCGTCGCCAGGAAGCACACAGGAGAGCGCCCTTTTACGTGCCACTGCGGGAAGCAATTTTCACGGCTGGACAACCTGCGCCAGCACGCACAGACGGTGCACTCGGACAAGCAGGAGGACAACGAGCGGATGATGCGGGATCTCACCACGCTGCACGCATCGATGGCGGCGGCGAACAAGTCCCGGGGGACTCGGCGGGTGCCGCCCAAGGTGCCGGACACGATTCGCCCTGGCACCAGCACTGGCTACGAAGGCGACACCTGGCACATATCCACGCCGACGTCGGCATCCAGCGACCACAGCGTTGCGCATCCGAATTCGGCCTCCGCCCCCTCTGCCGGACCAGGGAGTAATTCCTTTCGGTCCTTTCGTGACCCCCGGAACGGCCAGTCCTTTCGTGACCAACCATCCGTCGCCGGCGCGAACCAGCCCGCCCAGTCATCTAACCCAAACGCCCTCTCCTCCACACTCGGCTTCTCCTCCCGCCCCGGCACTGCCAACGGGCCCACCCTCCCGCCGCTCTCATCCCTCATCCCCCTCCCACCTCCCCCCCAGTCCTCATCAGGCGGCCACCATTTATTTCGACGCCCCTCCACCGCAAACTCATCCTCATACCCTCCCTTCTTCCTTAGACCAGGCACAGCCCCAGCCACATCAACCCCCTATCAACAATTGGTATCTCCCTCAGCAGCAGCCCTCGCAGCAGCAGAATCTGAGTCTCCATTTTCCTTCCACGTCCCCGCTCAAGACGGAGCCGACTACCCCTCCAATCCCTCTCTCGGCCCAGATGACACCGGCTCCCGACCACAGTCGCGACGACTCTCGGTCATGGAGCTCTGTAATGATCAGCCAGCAGCAGCAGCAGTATTACCACCACTACGCGATGCAGCAGCCGCAGAGGGTTCCTCAGAGGTATATGGAGCTTGAGTATTCGCCTTTTGGCGAGTACGACGGATACCAGCCGTATCAGAATGGTGCAAATGGGGCTTCGGAGAATGGGAATGGCTTCCGTTCTCCGAACACCGGGTTTGACGATTTTAGTGGTGAGAGCGGGTATCCACAGCAGCAGCAGCAGCAGCCACAACAACAACAGCAGCAGCAGCAGTGGTATACCAATGCGGGCACATATGGGTATTATGGTGACGGTGACCGCTGATACTTTTGTTTCTATTTGGGCTTTCTCTCTTTTCGTCCTTGCTCTAACTCTCTCCTTTCAAAGCCGCTCGTTGTTTCGTCTCTCCCCCAAGTCAATTTAATGTTATATATATCGATATCCAGTTACTACTATGCTTTGTGTTTAATTGTCGTTTTTCACTTCACCTTCGTAAATACGCAGTGTGTGTACATATCCCCCTTCGTTTAGTTGATTGGTAGCTCTGCTTCTGTACATATTTAGTGTACGTAGGAGGGTTTTCAATGATATCCGAAAAGTGTCCCGAGGAGGGACCGTGTTGTGTCAATTATTTCAGTGCATGTTGAGTGGACAGCGTGGTATGGAAGTGTGATAGCCGGTGCCGAATGGGCGAATACTTTAAATGCCAGAGGTACCGACGGGAGAGGGATTCTCAGGTTCAGGGCCGTGTCGTAGAGGGAGAGTACCTGATTAACGGCAGTTAAAGGTTTTGACACCAGATAGTCATCTAGCACGGTATTTGACCACAACCATATATAATGTGGTAAGTCCCTTTTAGCTCAGTTGGTAGAGCGCGTCACTAGTAATTTGCTATGACGAGGTCAGTCGTTCAAGTCGGCTAGAGGGAAATGCTCTGTACTTTCACCTGTTAGCAGCTCTTGTGCTGTGCAACATTGAAATTTTGTAAGTTGTTGCTTGTGAAATTTGTCTGTCCTAAATCCTTCCCTCAGCCCTGAGTCTTCGATAGTTGTCCCTTTTCCCCTTTGTGCAGCTATCCTTTTAACTATTTCATACACAAATGACTCTGCTCCGTATCGAGGAAAGGATCTCCAGATGATCCCATTGGATATCTGATTTGACATAGGAGGTCTAGGCGAGATACTAAAGTGACTGAGTTCTCAGTATCAAACCACGGGACTACAACACACCCATAAGACATGATCAGAAAATGAAGATGGGATCGCTATTAAAAATAAACAAGCAGAATGACTTGTTGGGAACAAAGATCATGAAGATTTTATCATCTACATTTGTATCCAAACAGCAGAGACAGTTTGATACTAATCTTATAGAGTACGATACGCACGATTGTCTCCCCAAAGCGGGAAGCTTTGAAGATGGTAAGAGCTGTATACGACAACTTCTTTTCCATCATCCTCTTCGGTAGAGAGAACCCTGAACGAGATGAAAAGTGGCGATAAAATTTAGAGAAGCCTCGGAGCCGGAGAAGACTCGTTGGTCATTATGTGGTAAAAGGGAATTGACCAGGTGAGTCCGAGTACTGAATCTGATGAGAACAAAAAAGTTTTCTGCGTAGATCTGAGATGGGCTCGATATTAATATACCCTGGGTGGGAGCTGCCGGTTGGAATACAAGGCGAGATTAATATGGGTCGTGGATGAGTGATTTGTATTTTAATTTGGTGTCGCTGATCGGCACCCCCGGACCGGTGGAATGACGCTTGACTTCAAACCACAACGACGGAAAGGCATTCAAACCTGCTGTGGCTCCCTTGTGTTCTCCGCAGTGTGTAAAGCGTCTTGACTTACTGAAAAGTGCGATTATTACTCGTGTAACGAACTACTGGGACTGAGGTTGTGACTCGGTGGCAGAATGCCTAATCGCAGAGAGTGTCTTTTTCTCTGTCTCTGTTCTCATATTCATCTCTCTAGCGGATATATATGGTGCAAGTATTGATGAGAGGTGCATATATTTCATTCTAATTCTTTCTTCTCTTGCTACTAATAAAGCTTTACTGCTTAGGTTCCAGAAATCTCGAATGCATCTACCCCAAGT